ATTTTTAGCGACAGTAAAAATGGGCTACTAGGAACTAAACAGAATGGATGTCAGGTTTAAAATAATCGAGTTTCGTTGAAGAAGAATTGAATTCTTCACGTAAAGTAACCAAAAAAAGTTGTAATAAAATGATTTTTTCTCTTTTTTTTGACTGCAGTAGTCGAAATATAAATGATTTTTGCTAAAATTTTTTGGACATAACACTTTTTATTTGTTAGTATACGCTTTAAAACTTGAAAGAAAACGTTTCATAGCTTCCAATAAATAGCACTTTTATAGAAGTTTTATAGTTTTTACCTACAATTAAATTCACAACGTAGCAAAAATTTCTTTGAAATATTTAAAAAATTTTAAGCGTAAGTTAAAATGTCTTATTTAAAACTAAACAGATTGGATGTCAAGTTTTCCACAATCGATTTTCGTTGAAAAAGAATTAAATTCTTCAAGTAAACTAACTAAAAAATGTTGTAATAAAATGATTTTTTTTCTTTCTTTGGACTAGAGTTGTAAAAATATTAAATTTGTTTGCTAAATATTTCGGACTTAACACTTTTTATTTGTAAGCATACGCTTTAAAGCTGGAAAGAAAACGTTTCATATCTTCTGTTAAGTTGCTCTTCTATAAAAGTTTTATAGTTTTTATCTACGATTTATCCAGACAGTAGCGAAATTTTCTTTTTAAATATATTGAAAAATTTTTAGCGACAGTAAAAATGGGCTACTAGAAACTAAACAGAATGTATATTAGGTTTATTACAACCGAGTTTCGTTAAAAAAGAATTAAATTCTACACGTAAAGTAACCAAATAAATTTGTAATAAAATGATTTTTTATATTTTTTTAGATTGCAGTTGTTGATATATAAATGATATTTGCTAGATTTTGTTTGACATAATACCTTTTGTTTGTTAGTTTACGTTTAAACACTTGAAAGAAAACGTTTTATAGCTTTTGTTACATAGCCTTTTTTTAGAAATTTTATAGTTTTTATCTACAAATAAATCCAGAAAGTAGCAGAAATTTCTTTTTAAATATATTGAAAATTTTTCAGCGACAATAAAAATGGGCTACTAGGAACTAAATAGAATGGATGTTAGGTTTATTACAACAGAGTTTCGTTGAAAAAGTATTAATATCTACACGTAAAGTAACCACATAAATTTGTAATAAATTGATTTTTTTTCTTTTTTTTTATTTCAGTAGTCGAAATATAAATGATGTATGCTAAATTTTTTCGGACTGGACACTACTTATTTGAAAGTATACGCTTTGAAGTTTGAAAGAAAACATTTATAGCTTTAGGTATGTAGCAGTTTTTTTTAGATATTTTATAGTTTTTAACTACGATTTAATCCCGAAAGTAGCGAAAAGATCGTTTTAAATATATTGAAAAATTTTGAGAGACGTAAAAAATACCCTACTAGAAACTAAACAGAATGGATGTTAGGTTTATTACAATCGAGTTTCGTTGAAACAGAATTGAATTCTTTACGTTAAGTATCTAAAAAAAGTTTTTATAAAATGATTTTTTCTCTTTCTTTGGACTAGAGTTGTTAAAATATGAATGATTTTTCGTAAATATTTCGGACTTAACACTTTTTATTTGTAAGTATACGCTTTAAAGCTGGGAAGAAAACGTTTCATATCTTCTGTTAAGTAGCTCTTCTATAGAAGTTTTATAGTTTTTATCTACGATTTAATCCAGAAAGTAGCGAAAATTTTGTATTTAAATATATTACAAAATTTTTAGCGACAGTAAAAATGGGCTACTAGAAACTAAACAGAACTGATGTTAAGTTTATTACAACCGAGTTTCGTTGAAAAAGAATTAAATTCTACACGTAAAGTAACCACATAAATTTGTTCTACGCTAGGAAGAGATGACAAACAATCAATAGGAAAGTAACACGCAGAGGATGACGACACAGGGGACCAATGACCTATTGACACGTCAAGTGGCGTGATCCCTTGATCAATAAAAACAATCGATATGTCTTCTTTTTAGCGACAACAGACGGCGTTTAAATCAGGCTAGCTGAGAGGTGCTGCTATCTAGTCTGAGGGGCGCAATTTTCGAACATTCTCCCCCCTAATTCTCGAGCGAGATTCGAGAATTTGTCATGACGAGATGTGGTGAACTGCTGAGAAAATTATGATTCCTTGTGCGGTTGAAAAGGCAATGGTGCGAGCTTGACGATAGGTCTAGTTATAGTACTGGTGGCGGTCTTCAGTGTGACAACCCTGCAGAGACCGTCCTTTCCTGGGTGTAGTTGTATCACTCTGGCAAGGGGCCATTTCGACGGCGGAAGTCGCTCGACAATGATGAGTACAAGAGACCCTTCTCTGATATCGTTCTGCGATGTCTGCCATTTGGATGTGGTCTGATGCGCTTGCAGGCATTCCGTCGACCACCTTCTCCAAAATTGTTGGAAGCGCTCTTGAATCCGCTGGAAATGAGATAACCTGGAATCTGAGATGTCTATTAGAGAAGGCTCGGGGATAGTTGTTAATGCCTCCCCTCTGATGAAATGCCCTGTGTTAATGCTCTGATGTCATCAGGGTCCTCCGAGAGAGAGCTGAGAGGTCTAGAGTTGAGAACCGCCTAAACTGGAGCTAAGAACGTGGAGAAGTCTTTGAACGTTAGCAACGTATCCGAGATGGTTCGTTTGAGATGATACTTGATTGATTTCACCGCCGCCTTCCATTTTCCACCCATATGTGGTGCTGCTAGAGGATTGAAGATCCACTTAGTGCCGTCATTAGCGAGAAGTCTCTGGATCTTGAGGGATTCCTTCGTTGCAGCTGAGAGTAGCTCCTTAAG